TGTGTGTGTTTTTTTTTTTTTTTTTCCCCTCTATAGTTTGTAGTGCGTGCTTTTGACAAGCATACTAATGTGGAGATAGAGGAGAAATTGCCCCTGACAGTGATTGTAGAGGATGTCAATGACAATGCTCCAGAGTTCGTAGGCCCTTTACAGTTTATAGTTCCTGAGCACTGTAGTGCAGGTGAGAAAGACAACATACAGTAATAGATGATTCTGTGGTATTTGATTTTCAGTGCAGTTGCTCTAAATGATTATGGGTTACAATACAGGGACTGTGGTGGGAGTGGTGAGTGCAACTGACAGAGACGACATTTACACCAACCATGTGAAGATTAAATATACACTCGTATCTGGATCAGACATGTTTACCATTCATCCAGAAACAGGTGTCATCACAACAACAACCAACACCCTAGACAGAGAGGTGAGCACTGCCTCTGCATCACTGATACCTGTGAACTTTATGTAATTGAAAACTTACCTGTGAACTTTAATTGAAAATAGCATTGAAATAGATGATGCAAGTGCTTTACAACATATTGTTATTATAATACTTTGTAACATTTCTTTTAAAGTTAAAAGACAACCATGTGGTGACTGTAAAAATCCAGGATATGAATGGTGCACCAAATGGTCTGTTTGCTACATCAACAGCAACAATTGCTCTGAGTGATATTAATGACAATCCACCAACCTTCATGAAATCATCTGTAAGTGTTTGAAAGAACCGTCAGTTTGTAATTTGGCTGAATAACTGAAGTCATATTCATTGATTTTGGTGGGGGTTTTTTTCTACTTATTTCAACAAAATACGTTTTACTGACATAATTAAAGATATACTAAAGACACCCCCTCTCTTCCCCATCTTTTTGTTTTTTTCTTGTAGTATAAAGTCACTGTGCAAGAAAATGAAAGTGAAAAACGTTTACTTCGAATTCCTGTTCAAGATAAAGATTTGATAAACACATCGAACTGGATGTCACAGTTTGTCATTACTAAAGGAAATGAAAATGGAAATTTCAGGATAGTTACTGACCCCCAAACAAACGAAGGGCTTTTGTACATCTCAAAGGTGAGACTGGCTTATTATTAAATTCATTATTATCACTTAGTTATGTTGGTGGAAGCTTTTTGCATGGACCACATCTAATGCAAAGTCAGCCTATATAAAACTGATTTGTATTCATAAACTTTTATATAATTTTCTTTTTTCCAGCCATTAGACTATGAGAAGACCAACGATGTCCAGCTTCAGATCACTGCACAAAATGTAGCATCACTGAATGGCAGCAGTGCCACGTGGCAGTCCATCCCTGTGAATGTCAATGTTGAAAAAGTGGATGCAGGGTAAGATGGGTATGGTTGTTTCCTTTGTCTGGACTCTTGGAAAATGACTGATACACCTTTTCCTGCAGCTCTGTGTCCTTTGGACTACTGGGAATTATGACAATGCTGTGCCCTGTGGTCCTGCTCCTGATGCTCTGTGAGTCTCCCATTGTGATTAAGTTGTAAGGGTTAGATAGGGGTTCTCTTGTAGTTTGCTCATTGCATATTAGGAAGTGAACACTATTGCATACAACAGTGTAGTGTATAATGCTGCTATGCTCATTCTTGTAATGCCTACCACACATAAAAGAACTCTGTGACCTCTGATTTTGAACACGCCTGCTT